AAGAAATATTAAATACATGATAATAAAGAATTTAAAATTAGCAAAATATTAAGTTATTCAAAGCTAAAGTGAAAAATGAAAGAAAATTAATAATAATTAATTAGAAAATTATTAATTTAATAAAACTATAAATTAAATGTGATACACATGATTAAATTAATAAAAGAATAAGATTAAATATAGGTAATAATATAAATTAAAAATAGAATTAATTATAAATAAGATTAATTAATAAGAATTACTTATTTATCTAATTTAGTAATGATCAACAATTACTGCGTTATGTATTATAACTGCATTATATATTATATTGTATCTATTATATCAAATAAATAAGTAATTGATTACAATATTAACTTTAATATTAAATATAAAAGATATTAAATAAAATTATTAATAAAGATAAAAATTAATAAATTAAATAATTATAAATTTTAAATAAAAATTATTCATTTAAAAATAGAATTAGAATTAAAAATACAATCTATAATTAATATATTATAATATATTAAAAAATTTCATAATTAATTATAATTAATTATAAGTTTAATAATCTTTTTTAGTATTAAATAATTTAATTATTAAAAGATAAAGAAAATAAGTGAGTCAAAAAGCAGATTAAAGAATTAGAAAATTAGTTAACAAAACTATTATTAAAAATATAATAATTTCAATAAAAATATAAATTAAAATAAAATATATATAATTTACAAAAATGAAGATAGTATTACAGTAGTTAATATAAATATTTAGAATATCAATCTGATATATAAAATATCATGTAATATTATTAATTTTAAATTAATATGTATATAAAATTAAGATTGCTTTATTTAATAATAAACATAATAACATAAATATTTTTATTATTAGTTTTTGCATCTATTAACAAAAAATAAAAAAAATGTTACTCATTTCCAAGCATAAAGTATAAAGAATGATAATAAGTCAGCTTTAGGTAAATAATATCTGGAAATCTACAGAAATTATGCAAATAACAGATTTTTCTAAATTTATAATATATGATATAATTAATCAAATTAAAAAATTATCAAGTATTATATCACTTCTCAGATCTGAAAGATCTTTAATTCTTATAGTTAAGTAATATCACATTCTTGATCAATTAGTACAGATCAATAATACTATTACTACAGCTAAAATAACTAAAAGACTTAAACAAAAAGATTCTAACTTGAAAGTTTTCATTCATATAATTCAATATATCTTAAAAAAATCTTTGATTTGATATTTATCATTCATTGCAGTTTTTTTTATAATTTTATTATATTGCAGCTCATCTTGAATGGATACAGAAACATATCTGTCAAAATTGATCTCACATGATTTTTTCTGATGAAACAATTCTCCAAATATTCAAAAATATTCAGTTAATAAGATATCATTATAAAATATCATAACCACATAAAAGTATGATAAAGTATTTCTATAAGATTCATGCTTGAAATACTTTTAATACGCAAGAATTAATTATACTTGTCTTGTTCATTAAAAACTTTAATGCTAAAAAATATCAAGAAATTCTTGAAATAAATCTTTTTTCTCATATTTCTATAACAGATCATAGATTATATTTTCAATAGAATAACTTTTCAATTTACAATGTAGACAAAATAATCCATCTTTTTCATTATTGTGATATTTAAATTCTTGATTGGTCTTTTTACTTGCTAAATATCAATCCTATCAAGAATTTGTGGACCATACTTAAGGAAAAGATGAAAAAGAAGATAAATTTATGATTAATAAAAAAAAAACTTTTAATAATAGAATTTCAAATAATAATACAAATGAAATAGACAGATTTGAGCAAAGATCTCTTTCTTTGATTAGCAAGAAGTATGAAGAATCATGTTTTGATAGTGATTAAATGGAAAGAAAAAAAAATTGACTATTAAATTTTTATAAATAGTTAGTAGTCATATTTAAGAATATGCGTATAAAATTTTTGCACATGTTAATAATAAAAATAAAATATCTTACCTATCATAATAAATTCTGGATATTTATATCAATCACTGTATATTCTTGATAAATGTGGATAATTGTATAATAAAATTCCATAATAATTTGTTTTCCAGTACTGTATTAATATTTTTAATAGTTATAAAAATCCAGATAAAGATTGATTACTACTTTTATTATGTTAATATATTTTATAACTTAAAACATATCTATGTATATCCTTTATTATTTTAGATCAGTATAGTTAAAATTATATCATTCATATAGAATTTCATAAGGAATATTTTTTGTTAGAATACATAAAGCAGTTACATATGCAAAATTTCGAGATACAAGCTATTTTCATTCTTTACCCCTTAAAATCACATGAAAGATCACATGATCTGAAAAAAAGTAGAGATTCATGCAAAACATTCAAAAAATAAAAAAGAAATGTCTACAGACGTAATTCGTAGATTCGCACGTTGCCGAAGGGATCTATTCGTGAGACAACAAGTCATACGAAAAGAAGTAACTAGACAAGCATTACGTTACATTACAAGGAACGAGACACTTCCCACGCGTATACGACAACAAGCACAATTGGCCATAAATGCGTATTCGAGACACGCGAGGCCTGCTAGTATTATGAATAGGTGTACAGAGGCTGGCAGGAGTAGAGGTGTTTTTCGTGAACATCGGTTGTGTCGGTTTCAATTTCGTATGAAAGCATTGAATGGCGAGTTACCGGGCGTTAAAAAGGCGGTTTGGTAGTGCGGGGAAAAAAATAGAATTTGTAGTCTCAAATTAAAAACGATGATTTAATTGAAATTTTTGACGTCGGATTTGGATCTCGAAATTACTCACGAGATTCCTGTAATTCTTCTATAGTGCAAACAGTCTAGACAGCCAATATTTAATAAATATTTTAAACTGTAAAGGAAATTTTTTTTAAATATATAATTATTAAAACAAATACATTATTAAATTTCCTTTAATGTAGTGAACTTTTTTAACAAATTTATTATCATGCAAAATTGCATTATTATTTTTTAATTTAACATTGCATATCATAAATTTTTAACACTTCATAATTTAGCATTGCATATAATACCTCATTTGGAAATGACAATCCTAAAAAAATCCAGAAATGGCGCAGTATTTGATGCCATCATTATCACCGATAATAAAATAAAAAAGAAAAATAAACCATTCTACAACCAAAAAATTAGAGACTCAACCCGGTCCAATTTCATAAAACAACGCAGATTCAGTAGTGCTTCCCTCCCATCCTCGATTTCCAGAAGTGGTAATCATATATCGACACTGTTCGTCAATTACTATATAAAATTAAAAGGCTCAGATAAATATCAAAGAATACAAAATAAATGACTGTTGAATTAATTAAAAGACAAATACAGATTTGAGATATCGTTCCTCCATGATGCCCCGCCACAATGAGAAAAGGAACTGACGATCTACTGTTCTCGTTCTCTTCTAAGTTCCATAATCGGATATTATCAGTTGACGCGCTTTAATTAAACAATACTTATTAGAATTATACCGTCACATAAATGGGATTTAGTTAATAAAATTTAAATCTTCAAAAACCATATTAATTGTTTTCCATTAGGCATACTAGCAACACACGAAACGGGGCCAGAACCATTTGGCATTCGAAGCACGCGTAACACAGCTCTCGCGCGAACATCCCATTCATCAACTGATACAATAATTGAATGTTAAATCAATGTAAGATTTTGTTAAAAAAACATTTCTAATATCAAAACTGACCAGTTCCATTTCTTCTCCCGCAATAAATTTTCGTACCATCTGCACTCCAACAAGCCTTCAGGAGGAGATGCAAGCATCAACGCCGATATGTCAGAAAACAAAGCCCTCATACTTGTGAAAGGTTACAACCAGCAATATTCGAGCAAAAATCTATTTTTTATTTTGCAGTAAAGGTAACAACGCTTATTACTTACAGATAAAGACCAAGGCGGGGTCCGTTCCGGTGCAAGTGTTTTTATTATTGGTTCTTCGGCTCGTTTGTCCCAGATCATGATATGGCCGTCGATGCTCGTAGTTAAAAGGACGTCATTTGAGTTTACGAGATCATCTTCGTCATTGAAAAGCTCGTCGTATGATTCGGGCGAACTTTCGCGAGTCGATTGAGAGAAGGCTGGTAATACTGGACGGAATTGTATTGAGGTTATTTGTGAATTGTGGCCTATAAACCGTCGGACTACTTGACCATTGTTAAGATCCCAATACTGTCAATAAATTGATAAATTAATTATTTTTTTTTAATAGAAAAATATGATTTCTCTAATAAAATTTCTCAATTACCAATACTTGTTTATCCCACGAGCCACTAATAAACCCAGTTTCATCTTGCGTTATTTTTAATACCGATACAGGACCATTATGTTCTTTCAATACATGATGACATTTTCCTTCTTCATGTCTAACCGTAAACAAATTAATTCCTCCACTCTAGAAATAATTTAATTTAGAAAATTTTCAAAACATTTCTTATATGAAAGAATTTTACCTACCTCTAAGCCGCTTAGTAACCAAATTGCTTCAGATTGTACGGCTAAACTGTAAACAGCTGATAATTTAGGTTCGGGAAGTGGTGCCTCTGCCACGATTTCGGGTTGCGGTGAATTAGATGGCTCCGCAATCGACCCATTAGTAATTCCATTTGTATTTTCTAAATAAAATAATAAATAATTGGATTATCAATATTCGATGCTATATTGATTAAATTCATCGTCGCCAAATAACAAACCTTGACTAACCACTACAGGAGTATTAGGTACAGGTGTAGGGACTACCGGAGCTGGTGGCAATGGTTCTTCGTTCTCCCAATATGATACAATCACGCCCGCCTATTTTAATTATTATATATTATAGAATTCAATCTTCAACAATTATATATAAAATATTGTTGATGATGATGATCGACAGATTCCTTCTATTTCTTCAAGGAATATTACCTAGCGCACCTTTTGGACAGACTCCACTTGCGCATGTTTCTGATTTTGCGTCAACAATTGTTTTCCATTCATCGATCCAAAAAAATCGTATTTTCGAATATAACCATCATCGCCACCTGTGAAAACCCAACGCATGTTTCGGGTTGCGTCTAACGCGTATATTTGACAGCCGTGAATTGCCGCGCACTATGTAAAAATGATAAAAGTTGATGATTAATTATTTCTTAAATAACTTGATTATTATGAGATTACAAAAGGAAATAAAACATACAAGAGGTACAATATCATATGTTCTGTAGTATTTTGCCTTTTGTGGTCGTAGTCGTCGCGTCAGAGGCGGTTCAGCTGAAATTGACGTGGACGAAGAAGCAATATTTGGCGCCATAGAATAAGGCGTAGACGGAAATGTGGTCGGCGCAGCATCTTCTGTTTCTAAAGCGTCTATTAAAACAAACAGATAAATGTAAAATACCCAAAAAAAAAGATCTGAACTAATATGACAAACATATTCTTTATGTTGTATACCTTCTGAAACGGGAGTTCTATCACCAGCTTCCCCTTCAGAAGTCCCCAACGGCGAACCTTCGGGCGATTCATATTCTTCGCTCGACATTCGATTCTTATTATAATTTCTTTGATTGTATACGCGAATTTGAAAGTAACCAAAGGATTTAAGAAATAATTCTCCGGCTTTATTTAATATTTTTCAGTTTATGCAAAGTTGTGTGCGACAAATATTAATTATTTCCAAGTTTGGTTCGACTCCACAAGAGTAGATGTCACAAATAGGCTATAGATAAATAATTGCACTAAATAATTTTGTAAAATTGAAATCTCTTCAGAATAAAGTTTATATATAATTTTATATTAAAATAAAAGTTTATAAGTTATAGTTTAATATCTATTTTTTTTAATTAAAAATGAAATTTAATGCTGTTCATTCACCAGTAATAAGGTGGGAAACAAATGCCACTAAAGCACCTTTGGCATTTTTTAGATTCACGAAAAGAAGCTCTTGATGCTTTAAAAAAAGAACTTGGAAAGGGACCACTTTGGCAAGAATGTAATATACATTTAGTTTCGATTATTATTTGTTACTTCATTAGAAACATGAACTTGGCAATTAAAAAAATTGCAATCTAAAATGCATGATGAAGATGTAGGTTTGGATTGCGTCAAATCAAAACTAATCTAAGATTGATCGAAAGCCTACACCCATATATTTAATAAAAAAGAGATTATTTTTAAAGCTCCCTGAATACATTTCGCGTGTAAATTCTATTTCTACCTCGAATTATGCCATTCTTAACGAAAACATTTAGATTATGTATTTCCTGCACTCTCGACATAACAACATACTAATATGAAATCTTATCACGAATTCGTTTACAGTTCACCAGTTACAATATCGTGTATTTAAGTACCCCTTTACACAAACCCTTCCTCATTATAAAGTACCCAGTGGGTGACAGAGACACGGAAAAATCCCGTTGTGATTTTGAAAAAATTCAGTTTGCAATAGATTTTTTAATTCATCTTGCCAAATTTCAATCTGATCTTTGAATTCATTTGAATTATTTTCATTTTCTTTATCTTTTCAAATAATTAAAGCTATATTATAATCTTGAGCTAGTAAATTAAATGTATTTAGAATTATAAAATAAAAAAGATTAACTACCAATTTGAAAAAATTTCTTCAAAATTAAATGATTCAACCATTTCAGCTGCTCGATCATGTCCATTTACATAAGCCTTTTGATACCAATCTAAAGCCATCTCGAGATTTTTTGAAATTCCTATTCCGTAATGGTAAAATTTTCCGATATTAAATTGAGCTTTATTATTATCAGATTCTGCCGCTTTTAAATACCAATCAAATGCTTCATTATCATCTCTGCGTGTTCCTTCTCCATATTCATAACATTGTCCAAGTCGAAATTGTAAGCGAGAATTACCACTAATTGCTGACTCTAAGACAAATTTAAATAAATCATGTTCTATATTTTTTATTTCTTCATCTCTTTCATAACTAAATCTCAAAATAAACTGGGCTCTATTAATGTCAGACTCTGCTGCTTTTTCAAACCATTCGAATGCTTTTTGTTCATTTTTAATTGTTCCTTCGCCATTTTCATAACAGAAAGCAAGATGAAACTGTGCTCGAGGAACTCCAGACTCTGCTGATTTTAAATACCATTCGAATGCTTTTTGTTCATTTTTAATTGTTCCTTCGCCATTT